ACTGTAGGTAGTATGCAGCACAAAACTAAGCTCAAAGAGCTATGTTTAATATAGGTTGCAATTCTGGAAATCTCCTAAGACCTACATGGTTTGCTGTCTTGGCCTACCTTTTTTTTTTTTTTGGCACTCAAAACTCATTTGAAAAACCTTCAAGTCTTGAGAGCTTATCCAACTGAGTGGAAGCATAAAAAAAAATATTCATCCCTTTTAATCCCTACAATACTTAAATTGAGACTTTGTGAGAGGAATCAGCATTTTGGGCAAAAAAAACAAAATCAGTTTGCCAACCCCTTTCTTCCTAGATTTTTTTTTTTTTAAGTTTCTAGTTTGACCTACAGCCCAGGAATTTCCTGGGGTGTTCTCTTACACGTAGTAATTGGAATCAATCCTGCTTAGTTTTCTGATATTAGCCAAAGTCAGGTGATTCCAATCAATTTAAGCATGTATTTTTCCCCGTGCTTGCTTTTAGCTCAACTGCCTGGCAATTTCTTCCAAATTTTCCACCTCTGCCCTACTTCATGCAATTTACTTTCTTCTGCATCCAGCAGCATCTTTCTGTAGGTCAAAAAAAAAAAAAGCAAGAGGGCAAGTCAGATGTCCTAATGCAAATCATACCCGTTTTGTAGGCGTCTGCTAATGTCAATGCAAGTATAAACAGGGTGAGACTTCCAATGCGTTGCCACAATCATCATCTTGCTCCCTTTGAACCCTTCTCCCTCAACCGATGCTTTCCTAATTAAAAATAAAAAAGACTTACAAGTACCATTATTAAGTCCCAGTTTCTTCCTAGAAATGAAATGTATTTTCTGTTCCTGGCCTGAGTTACTTCCTAGGCAGCTCCAAACCCAAGTCATTTCACTGGCTACATTCAAACACTGTGTTTGTCCACGGTTTCTTAGGTCATAATTGGCTGGGTTCACCCTAAAGCCATAAATGATGGTTGGCTGGCTTTTCTACAACTCACTATTGCTGAATTCAATTAGTGTGATACATAGCCATCATGTATGGCCTCAAGAATTATAGATCCACGTGTACGGCAAAATTATTGAGGGATGTATTTGAAGGATCTCATTGCAGACGTTTACACAGATCCATCACTGAATGAAAAGGTGGGCTTTTGGCATTGGAAATTAGCAGGGCTTCATAATGTGTTCCAACAGAAGCCCCCTTCATCCACTGGCTTTGGCACTCTCCCTAGTGGAACTGGGCAGGCAGTTAAAACAGGAGGTCCTCAGAGATGGGTGGCACAAGCTATTTCCGTGAGATGGATGCCAAACAGGAATCTTCTCATGCAACCTTTTGAACAATGCAGGGAAAGAAAAGCTGCCTTGACATGCTGTATCTGCTGTTGTTAAAAGATGAATTCTTTGCTGCTTTGGGAAACATTATTATTTCCTAGTTAACAGAATGCATCACAGATTACTCAAAGCTTATGGGCCCTTGGTAATTTCCAGAAGGGAAAAAATGCAACCTATAAATTTTTGGCATGCGGCTTGAAAAGGGAGACATATTGGTGAGACGTCCTCTTTGACTCCTGCTCTGGAAATGGTAGCAAGCTTTTTTTTTCTCTCCATTGAAGAAACAGATTTTTAAAAGGAAAAATAGATGAGTAGCATATAGTACTAGACTCTTGATCTCATCTGCATTACCAAGGAAACTTGATTTCTCTTATTTCAGAAGTAATTGATTTTTTTGAGCTTCAGCCAATAAAACCCTGCACGTTTCCATAAAAGGAAAAGAATAATTCTGAAGTAAAGAAGCATTCTAAATTTTAGATAACAAAAGTATAATTCAAAGTATAATGGCCTTTTGAAAGGGATTTCTCTGTTCTCATACACTGATATGCAGTGTTTCAATCAACCTGTTTCAATTTTTGTTCTTGTTAGAGAAACCAGCTAATGATGTATCTCTTTGTAAATTGTTTGCGCAAAAGCTTAAAAGAGACATTCTTCTAGAAGGCCATCACTGAGTTGCAGTATACTGTATATTCTTTCCATGTGGAAGATCCTGAATTCAGTCTCCAGATCTTTGGAAAAGAACTTGGAGCTTGGACAGAAAGGTTTTATATCCAGCCAACAGCCTATTTTGGTTATTCTCAACGCAGTACCTAAAGGTGAAGTACTCACAGATACTTCACTTTCCTTGGTATCTCCCAGGCTCCCTGTCCCATTGGACTTTTTACATTCACATTTAAGAACAACTATTTAATTTAAAACATAGAAACAATATAAAATATATTGAAATAAAAGTATCAGGAAAATATAACAAAGATATCAGTGGTGGGATTCAAATTTTTTTTACTACCAGTGGGCGTGGCTTGGTGGGCGTGGCAGGGGAAGGATACTATAAAATCCCCATTCCCTCCCCACCCCACTAACCTGCTTTCCAGCTCTCTTCTCCTGTGCAGGGCAACAAAAGAAGACCCAGCCGATCAGCTGGGACTCGGAAGGCAGAGAACAGAAGGGGGTGGGGCCAGCCAGAGGTGGCGTTTGCTGGTTCTCCAAACTACTCAAACTTTCCGCTACCAGTTCTCCAGAACTGGTCAGAACCTACTGAATACCACCTCTGAAAGGTATGCTATAAAACCAAGTACCAGCCTCCAACCATAATTTTTATTTTTTAGAATGCCTTTGAGATTCAAACAGGCCCTTTAAGCTTCTTTATAATATAGAAACAATAAACAGCTGCAAAACCCCTGCAGATGTACCAAGCGGATCCCCCAAAAGACAAAGATAAAATAAGCAGGATCCTAAATGGTCTCCAGCAGGATGAGATGCCTAGGAGGACAGGCAGTATTATGGTGAATTATTGTTCCGTAACAAGTTTTGTCCCCCATGGTGGCCAGGTTTTAAATAAGGAAGTCCCCATCACCAGCATCATATTATAAATATACTCTCTGGCCCATTTCTAAGGTAGTTTTGAAGTTTATTTACAAGTTATTTAAAATAGTGTGTTTCTCAAAACTTGTGGGTTTGTTTGTTTTCGTTTTTTGCATGCTGCAGAGGCTCCCATGTAGTCTTTCAGAGAAGTCAATTATCAGGAGAAAACACTGTTCAAAAGGTATCTGAGCACATTCCAGGGTCTCCTAACAAGGGAAGGTGGTTTTATTTTTTTTATCACTGTCTATCGTCTTTCCAAAGAATCCCTGAAGCTGTAGAACTTTCCTAAAATCACCTTTTCCCAATCACACACATCTCCCCATTCGGATGGCACCAGATTCAAGAAAGCCGCTATCAATAATGCAGGCATGCAGTCTCTTGATTTCTTTTTTAGCACTCATAGAGCTAGAACTGCTAAGGGGATCCATGGCTTCCATGGTAATAACAGTAATAATACATGCCTGCCTATGGAGAACCTAATATAAAGCGCAAGTGTTTGGCTGCTCCTAAGAGAAAAGAACATTATATATCAAAAGGAATAGATGGAGCCCATATCCACATGTTATTTCCTTGCGGTCATGGAACGGTAGAAGCAGAGGTGGTATTCAGCAGGTTCTGACCAGTTCTGGAGAACTGGAAGCAGAAATTGTGAGTAGTCCGGAGAACTGGCAAATACTACCTCTGACTGGCCCTGCTCCCATCTATTCTCTGCCTCCCAAGTCCCAGTTGATCGGCTGGGTCTTTTTTGTTGCCCTGCATGGGAGAACGGAGCTGGAAAGCAGGTTAGTGGAGTGGGGAGGGAATGGGAATTTTGCAGTCACCTTTCCCTAGGAGTGGGGAGGGAATGGAGATTTTACGGTATCCTTCCCCTGCCACGCCCACCAAGCCACACTCACAGAATCGGTAGTAAAAAAAAAAAATTGAATCCCACCACTGGATAGAAATCACAGTAGCCAGGTTGAAATATAGCTATCTTTCTGGGTGGGAAAAAAACAAATAAAGTAAATGCAGGACACTGAACACTCCAAGTTCAATGTCATTTTATGATTAAGTTGCCTTAATAATAATATACACATATCTGATGTAATCTGGATCTATGTGCACATGGTTCAAACAAAGCCTTTGGGAAGTCTCTATTTATAAAGAGCAAATTTTAAGTAACTATTTGTCAGGGATCAAAATTCATCTCATTTATTGCAATCAGATAATTTAGGGCTGAGTAAATACTCTTAAGTGAATGATTCTGGGCTAAAAATATGGGTTAGGCCAGAAACCATACCACAAAACCGTCCAAATACAGTGGAACCTTGGTATTCAACTGCTTTGAAATTGATCGAATTTGGTACTCAACGCATTTTAATGAGAATATTTTGTCCTGGTACTCATCATTTGTTTGGTACTCAATGCACAAGCTAGAACTTGTTGGTGTCAGTTGCCTCACCACTTGCTACTCTTTCCAGGCGAAGCAAAGGGTGATGCATTAATTATGCGGTAGCTCTTGTCCTGTGCACATCCCTTTGCAGTGTTATCTTAAGTTCTGTGGTCATTTTGTGTATTTTTGAGCTTTCCCCCCACCCCCTGTCATCAGTACAGGTAAAGTGAAAGTTTTTATTTTATTTCATCTGATTATTTTTAGATTTATTTCTTATGTAAAGTAATGATATACAACTCTGTTTTTTACATATTGCCTTAAAATGTGCAGTGTCTTTGGTTTGGGAATGCATTACATTTATTTACGTTATTCTTTATGGGAAACATCTGTTTGGTAGTCATCATTTTTCATATTCATTGTGCTACCCAGAACCAATTAACGATGAATACCGAGGTACCACTGTATACCATTTTCATGATCACTCACTACTTCATGATCATTTTTTGCAGCCTTTCCTCACAACAAAGGCACATAGTTCACCCAACCAAATTTGGCTCTCTACAGCGACATGACCAAGAGCAAATCTCATTACCGCTGAAGATACCGGGATGATATTGAACACTCAATCTCAATTCTTGACGGTTGAACGGAGAGCATAAAGTTTTAACCCAATTTTCCTACCTGTGACTTCAAGCAATTTCCTATAACTAAAAATAAAAGGGCAATAACCAAACAGAATAATTCCATTAGTAAAGAGCATCAGAAGTCCAGTTATAACATAAACCGATGATATAGTCCTTTATATGTCAAATGCTGGGAAGACAGATGCCCTGCACCTGTTGGAAAGGTTTCCATTAAGACTCCAGGAGCATGTGCCACCTACACACTTGCTGTGTTTTAGATTCCTTCATCTCCTGCCAATGACTTAACTCTTCTTCTCCACTACTGTTCTGACCCATAGAAATCCAGCCAATCATCTCTTTGCGCTTTATACTGCGGCGATTGTAAATGGAGATCATCAGGGTGACATCTGAGAGCTGGAACAAGGCAACTTGGAAGATAAACGTCTCTTTGTAGATAGGGTTTGGCTGTCCTCGTCGAACAGATGTCTTGCAACGAGACATTTCTTGACCGACAGAGTTCAGAAGGCAGAGTTTTCCATAACTATCTGCAGGCAACATTAAAGTGGTTAAAGTTCATTTATTTATTTCTATCCCGTCTTGATTCTTTTCACAAATAACTCAAGGTGACAAACACCCACTTTCCTCCTCCTATTTTCCCCACAGCAACAACCCTGAGGTGGGTTGGGTGGATAGTGTGTGACTGGCCCAAAGTCACCCTGCTGTTTATTTAAAGAAAAAAAAATGCCTGCTTGTTCCTCTTTCTAATATATCACTCAGAGAAGCCACCCATTTGCCTAAAGCATATTGCTTTAGCTGACTGAAATCATGGCATCATACAAAAAGCAAATAAATCAAATGTTAATGTTTAGGAATATACAAGCTTATCCTAGGATGTCCTCTGCAAAATGCAGCCTGTAGGCTTTTCATGACACCATAAGGCTCTTTTTCTTTATAGGTGTGGGTCTTTTTTTTTTTTTTAGTATTGTACTCTGCTGAAGATAAGGCATGAAATTTCATTTCAGGCATGAACAGATAGTCACACTTGAAAATCAAGGGCATCCTGCTTCTCTTCAAAGAGTTTCGTCTTCTCTCATTACTTATTGTGTGCAGCTATGCCCGTGATGGCGAACCTATGGCATGCATGCCAGAAGTGGCACGCAGAGCCATCACTGTGGGCATGCAAGTCATCTCCCCAGCTCAGTTCTACTGCGCATGCGCACACGCCTCCCACCAGCCAGTTGATTTTCAGGTATCTGCCGCGCATGTGGGTGCATGCGGGAGATGTGTGTGCATATGCGGGGGAGCGGGGGGGGGTCCCATGCACATACACAGGGATGGGGGAGTGCGGGGGGGGGTCATGTGTGCATTGCATTATGGGCAAGGGTGGGATTCTACCAGTTCACACCTATTCGCTAGAACCGGTTGTTAACATTCTAAGCAGTTTGGAGAACCGGTTGTTAGAAGAAATTACTGGCCTAATCCTGTAAGGAAGGCAGGAAGGAAACATTCTGGTGTTGCTTACAGAAACTGCCTCTCTGTTAACCCTTATTACATACTTGGCAGAACTAGACTTCCTGTCTCAGGAACTTCTCTGGAGTTTTTTTTCCTTCCTTTGCTGGTACTTTGCTTGTGTGGAGTGACCATTCAAAGTTACAATGGCACTGAAAAAAGTGACTTATGACTGTTTTTCACACTTACAACTGTTGCAGCATCCCCACAGTCATGATAGGCCAGACGAGGAGATGCGTGCCTCGATGTGAGTGATATTGAGTTAGCCACACCCAGCCAATAACATGACCAAGCCATGCCCACCAACTAAGCCACACCCACAGAACCGGTTGTTAAGAAAATTGAATCCCACCCAATTATGGGTGTAGGCATGTGTGTACTTTTGGCACATGACTACAAAAAGATTATCCATCACTAATCTATGCCATACAAGGACCATGTGCTTCCGCATGTGTTTTTATCTGTACTTTAAGGTATATATGCATACATAGCTCTGTGTATATATTGCGTAAAAAAGAAATGAAGCCATTTAAGGGGGGGGGGAGAATTTAATATATATTCAGGATTACAATATATTGTTTGTGTAATAAATTCCCAGACAGGATGTCCTAATTGCAGAAGCTAGGTCAATCACTTGTAGCCTGTTAGATATGCATGGTCACCAGCCTCTTTGAGCAACTCCTCATAGCACCAGCGATAAATCATCCAAAAATTGTCGTGTTTTGATTTTTTTTGGTGCTTGGTTAGGAAAACTGCTAAAGATGCATTGAAGGGGCTTGTGTTCTGAAAGGGTGTTGGGCAATTCCTATTGTGGCTTAATGGCTTTTTCCTGTGTTGGATTTTTGGCGATGGCTATTTGCTTATGAATAGAGCTATCTAGATAATTGTCTTCTTTCAATAAGCTCTTTATTGCTTAAGTGCTGATATCTGATGTCGGCTATTAAGAAAAGGTGGGGGCTGCTTTCTGCCTCCAAGAACATGTTTTTCCATTTCTCCCTTTGGGAAATATAATAATCTGTTTTTTAAAATATTCCTCAAAATATTTCATTCTTCTAGGGTGGGTGCTGACTTTCTACACTACTTTTCAATTTTCAGAACTGAACACCCTAGGCAAGCACATACACATACAAAAGACGTCAAATATTATTTTTAATCATGCTTGGCACACGTGAACCATTTTCTGGAGGCTTCTCCTGAAGGATGTATTAAATTGCTGAAAATAAACCCCAAAGGTAGAAATACAGCAGATAAATTTTCCGCTCTGTAAAGGCCAGTATAGTATATTGGTTAAAGACTGGGGGGGGGGAAAACAGGTCAAGTCTACCATCAGTCATGGAAGCTCATTGTATGTCACTTATTCTCCTTTCTCAGCACAACTTTCATTTGACAGGACTGTTATTGTAGGAAAAACTGGCAAAGGGAGTGTTTTCACTTTAAGCTCCAGAAGAAAAGTTGTGATACAACAGAAATTTAAAAAAAGGAAGATGTTTCACTAGCCCCTAAATGGTAGCACCAAATGAGTTTCTCACAGAGAACATTCCAGAAGCACCATAACACAAAAGAGGGTTAGTCCTAGAAGTGGTATTCAGCAGGTTCTGACCAGTTCTGGTGGAAATTTTGAATAGTTCAGAGAACTGGCAAATACCACTTCTGACTGGAGATTTTACAGTATCCTTCCCCTGCCACACCCACCAAGCCATGCCTACAGAACCGGTAGTAAAATTTTTTGAATCCCACCACTGGTTAATCCCAGTGAGCCAAAGGTGAGCCTGACCTAAAAAAAAAAAAAAAGGTCTTCTACTTTCCAGTGGGCAATTTAACCAAAAAGAACGTATTGCTCAACTTGACAGAATTCCCCTCCAGTCATTTAGAACTAAAGAAGCTTCTTGGATGAGAAGCGAAACTTTTTCAAAGAAAACAACAAGAAAGTCCGTTGCCTTTTGGAAAAAGTGCTTTTGGGACAACTCTATAAAATCTATTCTGTGCAGGAGTAACTTATCCATTCCTGGGGAGAGGGAATCAGATTCTCCCTGGCTGGAAATTCCAATTTAAAGAAATATGATTGCCATGATGGGACTTGCCATGATGAACATGACGGGAAACCAAATGATGGAGGTTGATTTTCCTCATTGGGAATGGAGCAGAAATCTTCAGCTAGGGCTCAGTGGAACACCCACTGCTTGCTTAGCGAACACAAGAACTTTGGCCCTCATACTGTTGACTCAGTCAGCTCCTCAGAACATCACATGCTCCAGCAGAAAGCAAACAGAACAGAAGCTAAACATAGGAAATAAAACAGTTTTATGTGATGCACTGAGGAAAATGAATTTGCTTTGCAGGGCTGGGCCACTAAGTGTTGTTAAATCTATATGACTATCTCAGTACTTAAGACAAGGTGTTGGTCCTTATTTTCCATGCTCCACCAGGAAATCTTGCCTAAAAACAAAATACAGACTTTCACTATAAGTCCTAGAAAATGTATCAAATGTAGACCAGACCCTGAGGCTTAGGATTCACCCTTGACAGCATGTGGGAATATAACAGGTTGATCATCTTTGTTAAGTCCTGCACCAGTATTTATCCTGGTATTTCTATTTGGGCTGCCTTTCCTGTGACAACCATGGAAATTTAGGCCACTGGTCTCCTAGCAAATTTGTAAGAAGAAATTGCCTTCCTTCTCTGAACCAACTAAGAGAACATCCTTCTCAACCAGCAAAGTACATTTGCCAATTCTGAATTCCTTCTAGCCTATGGCAACCAGACAAGTAATTAAACACAAAGCTGGGCTGAGATAGGCTCTATTCCATGGCAGTGCTACAACACATTCAAGAAGAGGCCATCCCCTAATCCAAAAATCTAGTTGGGAGCCAGGCTTTATTCTGACTTCTAAAAATGTGAACTATTGCCATTATAAGAAAAAAAAAATATGAACTCAATTTGGAAGGCAGCAAGCCAATCTCCTATGACTCAAACTAGCTTAACCTTCCATTGTTCACATCCTGGAAGATGATGGCTTTACTGTGACAAGCTACAGTACTTGCTGCAATGGAAATTTGACTCATTTGAATCTCCTACGCTTCCAACCTTGTGATGATTTTGCCAGGTGGAACAGGTTTGATAATACCTTTTGAAGTCAAAGGTTACAGCTAAATTATATCCAGTTTCTTTCAGAGGAAATGCCACCCTGAGTCCAAGCCAGCATGTCAGATTTGTGTTTTTCACCGCACAAATCTGCTCTTTTGTATTATTACTGTTATTACATTTGTGAGGTAGGGATAATAAGTTGGGGATATCAGCACAGGCAAGCAAGGCTCTAATTATCCTATGAAATCTGTTTTTTTCTTTCTTTTTGAAGCGCTGTGAAGCCTAGGGGTTGGTTTTGTCCCACTCTCTTGGCAGATTTTTTTTTTTGCCTTAATCAGTGTCTTGTGCACTGTTAGGTACACACCTTTTTGTTGTCTGTTTATTTTTTCACAGTTAAGTCTACGTTCTTTAAAGGAAGAGTTTTCACAGCACCTTTCCATAAAGCATTAATTAGCAATGCAGGAAATAATCCCATTCCAATCCTATACTGTGCACTATTGTACACATTCTTTTGAGGAGAAACAAAATAATTAAAAATGCAAGCTGAAACAACACTAAGTAGTGGGGGGGAAACTGAAATTATACTAAGGAAAAGAAACTTGTTCCTACATTTGAGTGTATTCCTTAGGAAAAGTAGAAGACGGGGGAAAAATCAAGTAATCCAAGCAAAATGGGAAGAAAAATGTTTAAAATCCTGATAGAGATGCATTCTTGGTCTTCACTTTCTCTTGGTCTAATCAATTTTTTTAAAAAAAAAATTCAGAAGAGACAGCTGGGAGAGAGAAGAAAAATAATATGTCTCTGGATCCAATGCAACAGAGTGTGCTTAAAGGTGCCCCGGCAAGCTGAATAAAGATTTCCAAGAAATCAAGCATTCTTTCAAAATACTTGAAAACCCAGTGAGCCAATAAATAAACCATGCCAACTTCTGCATCCTTTAGCTGACCATCTCCAAAGCAGCTTTTAGTCCAAAGGCCATCCTAGTCCATAGCCTGATTTCTGATGTCCTGGGCCAGTGTTTCTCAACTTCAGCAAATTCAAAGGTGTGGACCTCAACTCTCAGAGTTCTCAGCCAGTGGAAGTTGGAAAAAAAACTGTCCTGGAGCCTTTAGCCCAGGGGTGTCCAACCTTGGCAACTTTAAGACTTGTGGACTTCAACTCCCAGAATTCCGAAGAATTCTGGGAGTTGAAGTCCACAAGTCTTAAAGTTGCCAAGGTTGGACACCCCTGCTTTAGCCCAAGAAGTCAGGTAAGTTGAGGAGCTGGAAAATTCCTACCTGGTCTAATGTAATAATCAATTATGGTCTAGCTCTATAGCTGCTAAAGCAACTCATTACTCAGAAATGCCAAAAGTACCCTTAAACACCCAACCTGACTCTACTGAAGCACAGGCAGCTCTGAATGACTGAACTGGAAACTACAGAGTGAAATCACATTACTCAAAAATTCTGTACTGAAATGCCAAAAGAGAAGCCCAAATGGCAGAAGATGTTTTTTGTAGTTTGGAAGAATATACAGTATATGTCTAGGTCCTGGAAAAGCAAAACACTTGTGCTTACAATAGAGGTTGTGTCCCTCCCTCCCCACTGTTTCTAATTAAACATTTCAGATTTTTCAGACACACACACACACACACACAACCTGTTTATATTCACAAATGGGACATGCACACGCCCAAGATTAGGCCCTTTTTTCAAAATCGCTCCCCGTTTTTGTAGGCGGGTGCTTTTTTTCATATCAAAGAAGCAAAGCAATGATAGTCCAAGTTCTACATCCATGAGACCAAGTGGTCATATATTTATATACCTGGTGGTCTGTTCATAGCAAGGTTCCGGAAGTGGCTGCCTTTGATCATCTCAACCGACAGTCTGCCTGTTGTAGCATTGTAGGATAGTCCGACCAGCAGTTCTGGAATTCCTCCGTGGGAGAGAGACTGGGTCGAAGAAGCACTGTCACTGTGAGAGATGACCGAGAGACTCAGTTGGGAGCCTCCACTCTGTGGATGAAGCAAGATGTTTTTAAAAGCCAACAACAACAAAAAGTATTAATCAGAAATTAAAATTCTTAAGTATTATACAAAGTTCTGCACTAAAACAGGCAGATAAAATTAAAAATATAGAAAACTACCCGGGTTATTGCATTGCAGCTCCAGTACAAGTTCTTTGTCACTATTCCATATTTCTTCTCCTTGCCCCACTTTCCCTCTTTGCCTTTATATTCAAATATATCTATGGTGTAATCTTGATATTTCCACTTAGAAAATACTGCTTTTTTCTTTCTTTCTGCCTTCATGTATAATTGCCTCTAAATATCTGAACCACAATTTCATTCCTGCTTTGTTCAAGCTTCTCCTCAATAGCCATTTTTTTTCTATGAAGGCTTTGCATGCACCCATGGCTTCATACCAGCCTGTATAGGTGAAATTCAAAAAATTAGAATATTGTGCAAAAGTTCACTTATTTCAGTAATGCAACTTAAAAGGTGAAACTAATATATGAGATAGACTCATTATATGCAAAGCAAGATAGTTCAAGCCATGATTTATCATAATTGAGATGATTATGGCTTAGCTCATGAAAACCCCAAATCCACAATCTCAGAAAATTAGAATATTACATGCAATCAATAAAACAAGGATTGTACCTCTATAAAACAATATTGGACCTCTGAAAAGTATAAGCATGTATATGTACTAAGTACTTGGTTTGGGCCCCTTTTGCAGCAATTACTGCCTCAATGCGACGTGGCATGGAAGCTATCAGCCTGTGGCACTGCTGAAGTGTTATGGAAGACCAGGATGCTTCAATAGCGGCCTTCAGCTCTTCTGCATTGTTCGGTCTCATGTCTCTCATCTTTCTCTTGGCAATGCCCCATAGATTCTCCGTGGGGTTCAGATCAGGTGAGTTTGCTGGCCAATCAAGCACAGTAATCCCATGGTCATTGAACCAGGTTTTGGTGCTTTTGGCAGTGTGGGCAGGTGCCAAGTTCTACTGGAAAATGAAGTCAGCATCCCCATAAAGCTCGTCTGTGGAAGGAAGCATGAAGTGCTCCAAAATCTTCTGGTAGATGGCTGCGTTGACCCTGGACTTAATGAAACACAGTGGACCAACACCAGCAGATAACATGGCTCCCCAAATCAACACAGACTGTGGAAACTTCACACTGGACTTCAAGCATCTTTCAGTGTGTGCCTCTCCATTCTTCTTCCAGACTCTGGGTCCTTGGTTGCCAAATGAGATGCAAAAGTTGCTCTCATCAGGAAAGAGGACTGGTCTGTTTTTCTTTAGCCCAGGTAAGACACTTCTGATATTTGTTGTTCAGGAGCGGCTTGACAAGAGGAATACAACATTTGAAGCCCATGTCCAGAATCCGTCTGTGTGTGGTGGCTCTTGATGCACTGACTCCAGCCTCAGTCCACTCCTTGTGAAAGTCCCCAACACTTTTGAATAGCCTTTTCCTGACAACCCTCTCCAGGCTGCAGTCATCCCTGCTGCTTGTGCACCCTTTTCTTCCATACTTTTCCCTTCCACATAACTTTCTATTAATGTGCTTTGATACAGCACTTTGGGAACATCCAACTTCTTTTGCAATTACCTTTTGAGGCTTTCCCTCCTTATGGAGGGTGTCAATGATGGCTTTCTGCACAACTGTCAGGTCAGCAGTCTTTCCCATGATTGTGATTCCTACTGAACCAAACTGAGAGACAATTTAAAGGCCCGGGAACCCTTTGCAGGTGTTATGGCTTAATTAGCTGAGTGGGACACTTTGAACCTAGAATATTGAACCTTTTCACGATATTCTAATTTTCTGAGATTGTGGATTTGGGGTTTTCATGAGCTGTAAGCCATAATCATCTCAATTATGCCAAATCATGGCTTGAACTATCTTGCTTTGCATGTAATGAGTCTATCTCATATATTAGTTTCATCTTTTAAGCTGCATTACTGAAATAAATGAACTTTTGCACGATATTCTTATTTTTTTAGTTTCACCTGTATGTATGGTCAGTTTATGCATGCAATTTTACTATTGCAGGTTTTGATACCACTAGATTTTTGGATTTCAAATGTTTGAAGGGAAGTCTAAAACATTCGGGGGGTGGGGGGCACTAGATTTCATACCCTCACTATTTATAGCATTTCTTATTCAAATTCTTGAGAATTATTTTATAGATCAGTTTATAGACAATATGCAATTCATCATGGCTGTAAACTCTCCTCTTTTATCCCAGTGAAAGGAAATGCAATAAGAACTTTAATAATTTGTCCCCAATTTAATTCTACTTACACATAAGTTGCTCCTTGGTTCCAGAACCAGCGTTGTCTTCATTTCCCCCTCTTGGTTGAGGTGGCTAAGATAAAACAACTGCTCCCCCATCATTCTCTCCTTCATCATTTTGCGCACAGAATAGAGGCGGAACCGGAGAGCGTAGCTGCTCAGCATTTCAGGTGCCAACTTAGTGAAGGTCACTTTGTCCTTGAACATTGGGTTGGGCCCTTTCTGGACACTTGTCTTCCCTCGCTGTTTCTTGCTGGGCATCAGGACTGTGTGTACCTGCCAGGTACTTGCTCCACTGCGGTCCTTGTCTGGTATATCTTTAGCTTCGATAATAGTCACCACCAATTTCTGGCTCGATGGTTTGTAATCAAAGATGATATCTAAGTCACCACATCTTGAAATTGGCTCATAGGCACTAGTATGAGCTGGAAGGACATTTGCTTCTTCATGTTCCTTTAATGGGAAAAAAAAATACAAAATTGGAATTGATAAGCCCCATTATTTACTAATAGATAGTAATTAAGTAATTGCAGATCAGTGATTCTGGGTATTGTCTAATTGTCAACAAGAAATGGGGAAAAAGCATGTTGAGTTGGAAGAAGACAGAAGTCAAGAGGACACTTCTGCCTTTTTTGATAGAGGAGAAAGTAGAGAAAAAGAGACACGGTCTAGGAATTCAAAAGAAATAACAGATAATGGACAGGGGGACATAGCATGGCTTGGAAATCAGGGAAAAATGAGTCAGAGTCAGGAGCTTCAGGGAAATATGGCTGGATGATTATGTCAGTCCTGAAGCCATGTTGGGCTGAAGCCATTTTGGAAGCATCTTCAGAGCTGCCACAGCAAGGCTGGCTGGAGCTGTGGGAACATGGGGCAGGAGGAGATAGAGGTAGCTGGGAATGTGTAGCCAAAACAACATTCTTTCCCATGGGAGACAAGGATGTCCTACCAGGTGTTGGAGAGGTGTGGACCAAAGCCAGCCAGGATGGAGGATATAACCTGGAGGAAAGAACTTTGGGGTTTTGGTTTGGGTGGGGAAAACCTCGGATCCTTCAGGTTTTCCCCAGATGTGCCAGTATGATATGCCTAATAAATCAATGCTTTGCCTTGGAGTTTTGATTCCGTTAGGGATCTTTGTTGGAACACTGACAGATTATTTACGAAAGACAGGAGGCCAAACAGAATGGAGAGGGGAGATCCATACAGAGGAGTTACATATTAAGATCAAAGGACTGAGTACAGAAGAGAAATTCAGATCTAAGAAGAAAACCCTCCATATTGAAAAGATAAGTATGAAAGATAAGTAAAAATTACGCTTGACAAAAAGATTTTGGGACAAATTCTTGAATGCCATTTATCTGTACAAAAAGAAATGCATTACTGGGTTCCTGTTCTGCAAAGAGCTATATCCCCTATCGTAAAAAGCAGAATATTCCACTTATGTCTTCATCCCTTGTGAAGGCATAAACATATGTTTTTAGTCTTCCCTCGGCACTAAATCTAAGCCTTTTCATGCCCACAGATGACATCAAACTGCACAAAATGTTTTCTTTCCTATTTTTCAATGTGTTTCTCCAGACAGATCCATCTACACTTTTCACCTAATCCCTTTTCTTCTTCTATTTTTAAAACAAAATTTACTTTTGATAAAAGAAAAGCCTGTGAAGAGGAAAGAGGGAGAGTCAGGTGCTTAGTTTCCTGGGTGTGTGTTTTCTGTTCAAAGGTGCTTTTTAATCTCAGATTAAAATGGGTTGCCATAGAGACCTTTCCTTTCTATTTAAACATGAATATGCTGTGAAAGAACAGGATATTCAGGGAGCAGAGTAGGTCTGCAGAAGGAATTTAAGGATTTACTCCTACAGCTGTATTTCAGAACCCTTCTAGCGCACTGATGCAGAATATTTTATATATTACTCTTTTGCTGCTGGTCACTATTTCTTCTTTCGATTGCCTTGATTATATATTTTTATTTGGAAAATGGCATGGAAGTGCCAGAAAGAAATAATAACAATGATGTTGATGATGACCATGACAACTACTTGTTAATCACCTCACCAGAGACAGGTAATCCACCATGCCTTGTATTCTGCCTGGTGCTCAGTATTCTGTCGATTCTGTAATATGAAACATAAAGTTTCTTACATCCTTGATCGCTACCCTGCAAAGCGGGCTGGCTGCATTCAGCAAGATGTGTCACATGCAACAGCTCGCCTCCCGGAGTTGTGGTGGCTCCATCACTGGAGATTTTTAAAAATAGACTGGATAACCATTTGACCAGGATAGTATAATGAGCAGGGCGTTAGGACCCCTGAGCTCCCTTCCAGCCCTGTGATTCTATGTTCTATAGCAGGGGTCTCCAACCTTGGCCGCTTTAAGCCTGGAGGACTTCAACTCCCAGAATTCCTCAGCCAGCTTTGCCAAGGTTGGAGACCCCTGTTCTATAGTACACAAGACTGACTTGGCTAAAAGATGAGTTGAATCCTGCCTTGAACACCCTAATAAGAGTCCAGACAATTGATCCACTGTTGCTTTCTTAGCTAATTGCAATCATTCTACTTGAGTGGTGCCCAGGCATTTGTTCGAAGTACTTCATGGATCTTGGTTCCCACTGCAGTAGGTATCCTGTGGATATGCAGACAAATCCTGCATTTTGCTGGCTAAACAATGGGGCCACAAACAAACACACAATTAGTCATGTCTACTTGTAAGATCATAATTGACTATACGTCAAGGGTCTTCAAACTTGACAGCTTTAAGACTTGTGGACTTCAACTCCCAAAATTCATGAGCTAACATAACTGGAGGAGGAATTCTGGGAGTTGGGAGTCCACAAGTCTTAAAGCTGTCAAGTTTGCAGACCCCTGCTATAGGTGAATAACTGAGCTGTTTATCTGGATATGGAAAGAGTTGGAACCTTTAAAAAGATACCTGGGTAATTTACAATGAGAAACTTTACTAATGCAACAAGGTATATATAGAGTTCATTTAGATTATGATCATCATATGTCAGCATTGGAGTCAGAATTCTAGAAATATTTACACTTCAACATATTATATGCAAATATAAATTTGTGTAATAATTCCAAAATCCACTTGATGAAAAGTGTCTACAAAAAAGACCTAAAAGAAGATGGGTCAATGACATCAACAATTGTATGCCCAATTAGCAAAAGAAAATTCAGGACCAAAGGGGGGGAGGAGGAGGAGGAGGAGGAGGAGGAGGAGGAGATTATTCCAAAATAATTCCCAAATGCTCAATAGTTCAAAAAACAATACTTTTCTTCAGGGAGAAAGATAGAATGAAAGTTAGATTTTGCTAAAGGAGGTCTTTAAAAAAGACACCCATCCTAGAAAGGGTTTTATATAAATGTGTGAAATTAAAGAAAAAAGCAGAGGTGAAGGTGGGTGGGTAGGTTGGGATGAGATGGGGAGACAACATCTGTCGGACAAAACAGGCAATTATGGAAATGGCCCTAACATGTTGTTTATAATTTACATTGTCAAAATGAGATTTCTGTTTCTGAATAGGTGGAAGTCGCAACAGAATTCAGAGATGATGGAATCATTTTAGAAAGTTAGAAAATGAGATTCGGCCTTTTACATCTGCTACACAATGTAGCTGGAGGGGAAGCACCCAGCACAGACATACTGAATGCAGGTTTTTGAGCAGAATGCAGGTTTTTAAAGCAACTTTCCAACTTTGTACAGCCCAGTTCAGACATAATGGTTCCAGTGCGACATACACTGGAATGAGCACAGGAGATGAGGTTTAGTACTGCCTACTCCCATTATTTTTTCTTGTATCTCTCCTGTGAGGAGGAGAATATACCAGCTTGTAAAATCATAATTGCTTGTGTTGTCCAAATGAGGAAACTGGCTGCTCAAAAATCAAAAACTTGGCACTTTTAAAATGTTCATTTTGTTTGCCAGAGTTATAAACTGCCTTTCCTCCAGAAGTACAAAGGAACATCCCCTTCTCCATTTTTTTTCACCCATAACAACCTGGTGAGGTGAGTTTGGCTGAGGCAGGTGGACTGGCTGAAAATTGTTCAATGGGCTTCCATGACCGAGCCTAGATTTCAACCTGGATCTTTCCAATTTCTATCCCAAAATGTAACTATTGCACAAAGAGAGGGCACACCTTGCATTATAAGGGGTAATTAATCAATAGGTACTGACTTACTCAGAAAAAGAGAGTATCTTTTTTTTTTAAAAAAAAAGTCCAAATGTGATTGCTGCCATTCTGCTCCACCTCATCTCCACTTCACTGAGAAGAGGAGTGAGGAAGGAGGAGCCAACACATGGGAGGAAGTAAACAGAAATTGAAATTACACTGAATGCCTGGCAGAAACATTGGCTGAATGATCCCAAGGCCACAAGCTTGGGAATGGAATATGGAACATCACCAAGCCCACCAAGAATCAGGACTGTTACCTAAACATTTCATTTGAATCTCACTGGGCACTAAACAGATAATAGAGGAGGGGGTCTGAGTAAGTAGGCAGATTTCACGTACAAACTTTGGATCTGGCTTTCACCTGGCTTGTAACCATTTGTCTTTAGTAAAGCTACTCCTTTCCCTAATGGTGCAGTCAATGGCTCTTCTGTTCTATTGATCCAGTTGGGACAGGCCCAGTACCAAATCTTACTGTTCCTAACAAAAGGACATGTATATTCATGGAATGGGATGGGAGAAACTGCATCATCTTAATTCCACAACCAATGGAGATGATCAGAAAACACAGAAATGAAGAAGGGGATAAGACTGAAGAAGAAGAGGAGCAACAGGAGGTATCTTTGTATGAATCATGAGAGGGGCTCATAATGAATGACTAAAGTCTCCTTCATTTCAATTCAGCCCTTGACATAAAAGCTCAGGGGTTAATTTTCTAAAAATAGGAAGAAGATACAGATGAAGAACTCAATGAGGTGAAAGCCAGATCCAAAGCTTGTACGTGAAATCTGCCTACTTACTCAGACCCCTCCCCTGTTATCTGTTTAGTGCCCAGTGAGATTCAAATGAAATGTTTAGGTAACAGTCCTGATTCTTGGTGGGCTTGGTGATGTTCCATACATTCCCAAGCTTGTGGCCTTGAGATCATTCAGCCAATGAGGACCAAGTGATCAATACCTCGTAGGCTCAGGAGGGATAATAAAGATGAGCTAATAAAAGAAAAAAGTGTGTAAAGCCTTTTTGTAAATCAACAGACTGATTATGGAAGTGGCATTCAGAGCGGAGAAACGCACAAGCCGCTTGAGGTGACTAACCAATCAGCTGTCTGATGAGTAATTCAAGATCCTAGAAAACTAAATCTAAAAACAAAAGCATTAGAGATCACACAACTATATAATTGGGATGTAGTGACTGCAAAGCATACAGAGATCCAGACTTGCTATGTTCAATGCTCCAAACACAGGAAGGGGCTTACTAGTCAAAACCTTGGCTCAGGTTTTTTGCATGAACTGTCACAAACAATGGGTTTACCACTGTCACATAAAAAGAGTTGCGTCAAAACACTGTAAGGCAGGGTAAGAATACACTGTAGTACCCAGCAAGCAAACCAATTGGAGAACAAGTACCTACTTGAACAATTCAGGCAGAATGGCTACCCACAATCTTGTTTACAACAAGATGCCTGTGCAATATGCAGGGGAGAGAAAGAAGATACAAGACTAATTATATGGCATTCCCTGCCCTACACTAAAAATATTTCAGAGGCAGTAGAAAGCAACTTCCAAGATCTGCAAGTGGGCATCTCCCAGCACCCAGAGGCTACCATACGAAGACAAATCATGCACTACAAAGATTGTTTGGAGATGGGAGAAACTTCCAATGTAATTTAGCAGATTCCCTGCATAGATTGCCCCTGTGACTATGTAGGACTCAACTCTCAGTGCCCCTGACCAGAATTACAACAATATCCTGATCTCTTAAATTGTAGCAAGCAAAATTGTTCTGTTAGCAACAAATGGAGTGGAAATCACAGTAGGACAGTAAGATGGATTTTTGAAACTAAGAGGAGACTCTCTAAAATTAAATCTTAGTTTTCCATTTCAATTTACAATTTGTACAGTGGAAATAATATCAATCACTCTTGTAGGGTCATTGCAGAGAAGAGCCAGATTTCAGATTTCCTGTACATAGTCCAAGGGATTGCAACTTGACATGATCTTTAACAACTCCCATTAGAGCAGGGGTGTCAAACTCAATTCATTGAGGGCTGCATCAGGGTTGTATTTGACCTTGGGGGCCTTTGGGTCCTGTGGCCGGGGTGACCCTGGCCAGCTCGATGTCACTCATATCAGGGATACCTGTGGTGGCCAAGAGCAAAGGCAGGATTTCCCTCAGATCCTCCCTCACTCTCATTATAATCTCCTTCCTTCCTTCCTTTCTTCCTTCCTTCCTTCCTTCCTTCCTGTTCTTCTTTTTCTTTCCCTCTTCATTCTCCTTTCTTCTTCCTTCCCCTCTTTCCTTATTTTTCCTGCCTTGCTCTCTTCCCATCTTCCCATCTTTTTTTGTCTTTCCTCTTCCCCTTTCTCCTTTCCTGTCCCTTCTTGCACGAAAATAAATAATAATCAGAAAATAATAATCAAAAAGTAAAATACAAGCTGAATAATCAAGACCTTGTTGATGACCCCAACTATGTCAAGGACCTTGGAGTACTCATCTCTAATGATCTAAGTGCTAGAGTCCACTGAAACTACATAGCCAAAAAGACATTAAGAGTTGTTAACCTAATGCTGCATAGCTTTTTCTCTGGTAACATCACACTACTAACTAGAGCATACAAAACATTTGCTAGACCAATACTTGAATACAGCTCATCAGTCTGGAATCCGCATTACATAACAGATATTAATACAGTCGAGAAAGTCCAGAAATATTTCACAAGAAGAGTTCTCCACTCCTCTACTCGTAGCAGAATACCTTATGCCACCAGACTTGAAATTTTAGACCTAGACAACCTAGAACTATGCCGCCTTCAGTCCGATCTAAGTATAGTACATAAAATTATCTATTGCAATGTCCTACCTGTCAATGAATACTTCAGTTTCAATCACAACAATACAAGAACACACAATAGATGTAAACTCAAGGTTAACCGCACCAAACTTGATTGCAAGAAATACGACTTTAGCAACAGAGTGGTCAATGTCTGGAATACTCTACCTGACTCTGTGGTTTCTTCCCCAAACCCTAAAAACTTTAACCTTAGACTTTGTACTATTGACCTCACCCCCTTTCCTAAGAGGTCTGTAGGGGGCGTGCATAAGCGCACCAACATGCCTATCGTCCCTGTCCTATTATTTCTTTTTTTATTAGTATCCGTTTTATGTATTCATAACCATGCTTATACTTATACCTGTTATCTAATACTTGCTTGACAAATAAAATAAATAAATAAATGCAAAGGGGGAAACATTTCTCCTTTTGTTTTGTTTTTAGTTTATTTTGCTAGCCTCAGCCAGCAAAAACGGAGCTCAGGAGGGCCACACGCAACCCTTCCCCGGCTCCATCTTCAGCTGGGTTGGTTTCCTGCAACCCTCTATAAGTGAAAACAGAGTTCAGAGGCGCCACAGCCCCTCAGAGCTCCGTTTTTGCTGCAATGGGTTGCAGGAAGCCATCCTGGCCCAAATGCCCAAAAGTGGAGCCCTGGTGGGCAGCACTCAGCCTCACCAAACTCCATTTTTGCTGGCAGAAGGCTGCAGGAGGCTGTCAAAGAGAAAAACAGAGCACCAGTGGGCCGCGCCCAACCTCCCCAAGCTCCATTTTCACTGGCAGAGGCACTATGAACTGGTCCTTTGTTGTTTTCAGGTTGGCCCCGCAGGCTGGATGCAGCCCACGAGCCTTGAGTTTGACACTCCTGCACTAGAAGTATATAGCATAGTACTTGGAACTAGAGTTTGCAATAATGTCTGGAGAAAGGGATATGACAGTTGGTTTAAGTTATCTGTGTGGACATACTCAAGTAGTGAAGTTATTCATCTATTTGAGCACCAATTATTGCCTATCTGACTTCACGACTGGACTACAAGCCATGAGTTTAGATAATGGGATGATCATACAAATCCAAGAACTTTGAAATATGAACCTTTTATATTTGCTACTTTACCGTGGACATGATCATATGAAAACCATCCTACTAAATGGGTTCAGAGAATATCCACAGTCCAAAGATGGTAAAAACACAAATACCCAAATTTGCAATATGTAGTCTTAACATAGTACTGTCAGACTTCCAGCAATCCTTCATTTGAAACATTAACTCCAAGACCGATATACCAGCTGATCCCACAAAATTCCACCTACCTCCACCCGCTTTTTCACACCTTGAACTAATAACTCATAGTATTTTTTTTTCCCTAAGAGCTATTCAACACATCACTTCCTCCCTCCAGAACTCTATGGCAACGATGAATCCCAGAGTTGACAAGTACTTTCAAAAGCAGCCGTTGCTAACAAGATTTCACAGAACCACGCACACTCTTATATACCTTTTCTTACCTCTGGACTCCAAGCTGATGAGCTGTCAGTTTCATCATTCCCTTCAAATCCTTGGTTGCTGAAAGCTGTTTCCATTTCCAAACTTCCTTCAGTTTCTTGTCGGCTGAGGCTGGGTGTTGCACTAACATCCACCTCAGAGTCCTTTGGCTGCCCAGAGCTCCTGCTCTCCACCACTCTCGAACTGATGGATTGAAGGTCATCTTCATGAGAAGACAGGTTGTCTTGGTAACTCAGGTGACTGAACCCATCTAAATCTAATTCAGTTCAAGCAAAAAAAAAATATTTAGATACTGTATACACAATCCAATTTAGGGCCCTGAAATTATACTACATAAATTCTGAGTCATTAGCATGAAATAAAACTATTCCAGTTAAAAAAAAGTTGAGGATTCCAGATTTAGTTACAATTAGTTATAAATTGCAAGGCATCATTTAATTACACTTAAGAAGTTTGTTTCATGTATACAATCCAGTTATTCCCTATGATGAATGTCATTCTATATCAAAGGTATGCATTTTGCACAATGATTTGTTCCCAAGGTGGCTTTTCAGGTCTTTCAACTGGGCACCCATTGCCACTGTAGCCAAACTAATGTTCAAGAAGTTTAATTAACTGTACTAGTGTAATTAGTATAATGATTCCCCCTTTCTTTTATTAACAATTAAAATGGAAGAACAACTTTTAAAGGACTTCTGGAGCACCACAGTCAAGGGCCTTTAGGGGAAATGGAAGCAAAATTGGCAGAATCAGAAATAATAGAAATTGTTTCATAAAGTTCAGACATGCTGCTGAGACTTCCGAACATTTATAAAGTATTTCTTCCTCATTCAATTCTTCCTGAAGTCACCACTGCTTATCTTTTGATTTCATTAACTGAAAACCAACTCCAACCAATTCCCAGGTAAGCAAGCAAACCGACTGGCATCTTGCATACATTCCCTATGTGTTTGTTCGGAATCAGCCTGTTTGGAGGGCCACGGGATTCCTTCCTACAAGAGTGTTATAGGATGTTTTTCATTCCACTATGAAGGCTCCGGGCACCATTGATGTTGAACAGAACATGGTGTACATCACAGATTGTAGCTCTAACATAAGCAGTACATGTTTGATATACACTTGGCACAGACCAGAGCAGTAGGCTGGAAGACAGGTTTTAAAATTTAAAATAAATAAATAAAATGCCATAAGCTTTCAGAATAGAAGTGCTTCTCTAGTGAGAAATTATGTTACACACTTCCCACACAGAGCCTCCCCCAGCACACATATTCAGTGCCTTGCAAATCTGGCTTGCAGCCAGAGTATCAGTTAAGCGTTAAAATCTATTTGAAGGTTAAGAAATGTAATTCAAGGCAATCTACTGACTGCCTAAGGCTGCAATCCTATTCCTGCTCTTGGGAGCCAAGCCTTCCTGAAACAAATGGGGCCTATTTCGGAATACAAAAAATTCAATTTCTTCTGAAAATGCTGCCGTGGAGTTCACTTAAAAGTTTATTATAGGATTCCTCATAAAGAATTTCCAAAAGTTGAACTAGCTGTACTAGAAACAGTCAGTGAGATATATTCCAAAGTGCATGGTACACCAACTCCAGCTGTTTTCCAACTTGGCATTCTCTCTCTGGAGGGTGCTAAATGGAGAAGTCTGATTTAAACCAATGTTTGGCAGCTTCAGCAATCTCAACCTCAGCATGCTGGTTGGGAAATTCTGGGAGTTTGAAGTCTATCCATCTTAACGTTGTTGCAGTTGAGAAAGACTGGTCATTTAGACCAAGCAACCTGGTTTAAAAACCACCTTGACTCATTTTCTGAAGTCGTATCTTAGGTCCCTCCCTATGCCACTCCCAGAGTTGTCATCAGCAAAGGCATCTTGATAAATACATATAGACCTCAACTTATGATCACAATTGAGTCCAAATTTTCTGTTGCTAAATAAGACAGTTGTTACGTGGGTTTTGCCTCCATTTTATGACCTTTCTTGCCACAGTTGTTAAGTTAGTAACATGGTTGTTAAATGAGTCTGGCTTCCCTGTTGACTTTGCTTGTCAGAAGACCGCAAAAGTTGATCACATGTCCCCAGGACACAGAAACCCTTGTAAATGCCTGCCAGCTGACAGGGAGTGGAAGTGGGAGTGTGGCTCCATTGGCTGTGATGGAAACTGGGGAAGGGCAAAGTCCAGCTGGGCAGAGCAGGGGAGAGGTAGAACAAGGGAGAGGGAGTTCAGAGGAAGACCCAGGCCCACCCCCTCTTCACCCTAGGGTACGCAGGGAGGAATGTTCCTGGGAGAGTTTTTCTCCAGCCCAGAAGGTAACCAGGACATTGGGGCAAAGTTGGAGCTAATGAAGGGACTTCTACTGATTATCTGACTGTGTTGCCTTTGTGCCACGCTCTGGGTCATCACAGAATGCTGCAAAGATTATAAGTGTGAAAAATGGCCATAAGTCATTTTTTAGGTGTCATTTGTAACTTTGAATGGCCACTAAACAATGATTTTAAGCCGAGGATTATCTGTACATTTGACTTATCATAAAATGGTATTAATTGTGCTTTCTTAAGAAAATAGCGTGATGGCTACAGCAACCATTATTACAGTTTACCCAAGTCAAATGTTTATTTTATCAACCTATTAAGGTGTTAGATGTAGAAGTTATGGGAGAAGTTAAGAAGCTTGTGAGTGCATGCCTGTTTCCCAAGTTCTCCTAAAAAATTTTTTTGCCCATTTCATTTTTAAGTGATGTGTTGATTTTAGATTAACATTATAAGCTTTTGATTTTATGGCTATTAAGTTTTGACTAATTTTAAGAGAGGCTTAGCAGAAGCGGTGCTAGTATGATGCCCATAGGCCTTCAACCCCGGAGCAAATTCTAGTCATGTTGTTGACCACTTGATTTATCCCTTGACTTAGCGAAACCTGGTGCACTTTTTGTTTATCTCTGCAATTTCCATTCATGGTTTTGTTTTGTTTTTGAAAGAGTTATAAAATACCTTCACTTTCAGAGGCCTCAGTACTGTATTCTTCATGATTTGACAACAAGCAGTTAAATTTTGGCCTGTGCTCCAAACCTGCTTGGATTCCTTTTTCAGAAACTCCTGATCGAAAGCTCTGCGAACGAGAAACTGAAATCTCAAACTGTTTAATCACCTCTTCATCACTGTCTGAGGATGTTGTTAGATCTTCATCATCCCCGTAACTGTTCACTGACAGAAAAAGAGACACAGAGAAGATTTTGACAGCCCAGGAGGCAGAATCATTTTACAAGCTCAGAAGGACCAAGCAAGGCAGGAGCCACGGGATACAGGATCTCCAATTAGCTACTTGTGTTTTACCAAGAGGTGTGCCACCTTTCTGCTAGTGATCTTTATAACAATGAATGTTTCTTTTTTTACTCCTCTCCCTAATCGTCATTCCATTTTTTCTTTCTAGACAGGGGTGTCAAACTCAAGGCCTGGGCGCTACATCCAGCCCACAGGATACTTAAGATCTGACCCACGGGGCCCACGGGAAACAGCAAAGAACTGGATCACAGTGCTTCTCCCAGTGAAAACGGGCTCCTGAGCTCCATTTTTGGCTTCTACAGCCTCCTGCAACCCTCTGCCAGTGAAAAGGGAGCTCGGGACATGTGCAGCTGAAAACAAAGCTTAGGAGCCTGTTTTCACTGGCAGAACACTCGGGCCACCACAGGTGCTCCCTACAGAAGTGACGTTGAGCTGGCTACACCCACCCTGCCCCCCTCTCCAGGTCAAACACAACCCTGATGTGACCCTCAATGAAATAAGAGTTTGACACCCCTGCTTTAAGAGGATGCTGGTGTTTAATGTTTGTTGTTTCATTTGTTTTACTTGAAGTGCTTGATTTTCTAATATCTCAATAATAAATGTAGACTTTCAAGAGTTTTCTACCAATCAACTTTATCCTGAATGAAGATGTCAAATGCTACAGCAAACAAAGTGAAGGCATTCACATTATATCCCTCAAACGAGTAATGAAATTAAAACTGCAGCTGAAAAGGCAAATCTAGTAACTGTAAATCAGACACTGCTCAATCTTGCTCCCAATATCCTCCACCATGTTCATATGAGCTGTACATGATGAGTAGATATTATAAAATGCTATTTGCCTTAAACATTTATTTATCCATCACCATTATTAATACTTTTAAACATAGCACAAAGTGCTGTAGGAATGGGAAAAGAAATATTTATCCATCAATGATTATCATCTGAATGAAAAAGCCTCCCCAACTATTCCAACCTCCATTCTACCCTGAAGGATAAGGTATACCTATGTCATAAATAAACCTGGATAGCGTTTCAAGATCAGCTGCAATATTACGTATCAATTATTTCTGTCTGCTATCGATGTATTGGACGCAGACAATTCCTGCATAGAAAATGTCATTAAAAGTCCTAACTTCTTTGCCATTTTGATGGTCACAGGATTCGCTTTTGGAATGCAGTCAGTCACTCAAAAACTCTGCAAAAACTCTGACATGGGGCGATAGTCATTATGAAGTCTCATGCTACTGTTGATTAAGGCAGCAGAACTGATGGGATTGTGAAGAAAGCATGCCAGATAGATCTCCAAGTCCTCTAGGCCACCAAAGAAAATGCCATCTCCTATGCTGGATATAAAATACTGCAAGGCTAACAACATGTTTGTGCAGAAGAATAACTAGCACTCAAAGACATGGTCTTCATATTCTTTGCATATATTCTTGGCAATACTGAAAAAAAAATGTGTGTTGCCAGAGTTGTATTCTTTTATCCTTAAAAAAAAGCAGTATAACATAGTAACACACTAGACAGCTGGTATATTAAAATGCATCTAACTGTGTGTAAGTGTGTGAGAGAAAAGGAGAGAGAATGAGCACACACGCACACAAATTGTCACTTATAACCACCACTCCCCCACCCCAGCAGTTCCCAAAGGAAAGATTCCTCCTGTTGTTTGCCTGGATGCAGATGGTAAAAAAAAATTAAATTAAATATCAAGAAGCAGCACACTGGTTTTTTTGTATCAATTAGTAGATGATGGTGTTGAAACACCTGCTCTTTCATAGCCAAATTTGTAAACTTAGCTCATACCTCAAACTCACTCTAGAAATATCCCAAAGCTTTGCAATGAGGCTGTAGGCATAGAAAAGTCAAGCATTTGCAAGCCTAAAATAATGTAGCAAATGCTTCAATGTCAGTCACAGAACTGGTCTTATACTAACTAGGCACAAAAATCCAGTCTCTATCTGTGAACTGAGAATGCC